TAGTTCATTATGAAACTTCAGGGATGAATGAGTTAAGTAAATTACCACTTATTTGTTACTTTAAATAAATATGTAAAACAAATCGTAGTGGTGTCCCTCACCTCTGTCCTGTAGGAAATATTAAGTATTGATACGACATATTGTGACATATTGCCTGTTTTGTCTTGTATACTATGCTGTGACCCCTACGAAGTAATCCGCGTTTCTTGTACATTATCGTGAAGCATATTTTGGCAGACAACACTGAAACGTAGAATTAATTAACAGCGCCCCTACGAGAGGGGGCATCTCTTGACGTTACGCTACTATTCCAGCGAGTCGAAACAAGGGTAAAGTGCTCGTAGTCGAGGAAGGCAAGGAACCATATCAAATAGAACAGGCGTGTATTAAAATCCAAACACTTTCCTAGAAATTGTCATGTCGTGTATTAATCGACAATAGAGACGACCATCACTCAAACTGAAGTAAGTGGTACCGTTGTTATCACTGCGTACATTTAACAAAGATGAAAGGAAACAATCGTTGGGAAATTCTTTTTGCCGTTCTGAACCTTAATATTTTGCAAGAAAACGGGTAGGGAACGCATATATTATATTCCCTTACTGTCCTTTAAAGCTTGAATATCTCCCTCTGGTGATCACCGGGTTCGTTTGCTTTTGGTTTAACCTCCTCGTTACATGTACATTTTTTTTGCATGGCAAAAGGCAGAGGAAGACGAGCATGGAAAACGTGCTTTGTCTTTCTTTATTATCGTCTGCTTTCGTCATTAACGTAAACAGAGCTCCTTGACGAAAATCAAGTTTGTTTATTTGTTTGGGTTAACATCCTCGTTGCAGCTTTGTTTGCATGGCAAAAGGCAGAGTAAACGAGCAGGGGAAACGTATCTCATATTTCGCTTCCGCCATTTGAAGTACAATGAAAGCTCCCTGACGAACACCAGGATCATTTTTTTTTGGGGTGTGTGTGTGTGTGTGTGTGTGTGTGTTAACGTCCTCGTTACAGCATAGGTCATTTGGAAACTAGCTCATACGTAGACATCATCAAAAAGAAAGTGACAGAAGAGAAGTGATATAAAAAATATATAGATACCTAGTATTGTAATAGGAGCAGCAGGCAAAACAGAAAACCCCAAAACTCTGTAGGAGATCCGACATACACCGTTACTTACGATAACAGGTATAACGTAGTTGGGGACTGTAATAGACCGATCACCTGATCTACCAAATGTAGAAGGACTTCGACATCCTGTTTTGCAGCTTTGTCGTAGATTTTGCGTCTGTGTATTCTTCAAATTGTCTTTTCTTTCAAATAGTTACAGACATTTTTGGTTCATTTGTCACATTTCTTATTCCTCAACACGAAATTAAACAAAAATAAAATTAGTATTCAACATACTTTTTTTATATAATATATCATATCCAAACCTTAGAGATATTATTACTATGTCAAAATGTCGTAATTACTGAAAGAAGTTACTCTGGCGATAATAAGTAATACATAGTTAATCATGCAATTACCCCAATTGGCATTGACTGGCACCGCAGAAAAATGAATATTTATATTAGCCAAAATGGCAACATGTAATTTGGTTCCTTTTGTTGCGAGTCGATCGCAACCCTTCGATGCAAGAACTGACCAATGAGGTGACACGGACATCAGAGGGATATCATTCGGTAACCAAAGTTAGTGAAAGAAAATCAGGATGGTCAAACACGCAGTGATAGTTCACAAAATACAGGATGATAGTCTTCATATTTAAAACAAGTTATAAATCGCCTTTGTAATTCTGTGCTATACGAGCGGCTCTTATAGATGGCAGGAGATTTGCCGACATAAACCAAGAACTGAGAAAACTTGTTTTTAATTGCTTTTCGTTGAGTAGGACATACTGTGTTACATGTATCCTTTGTCTGTTTCGCCCATTCGTGTCGCAATTCTTTGTCATAACTCGAATGATTTCTTATAATATGTTCTTTAAATATTTCAACCAAAGGGTCAAGGAGGCAATTCATGTCTTACTGACGTTTCCCTAGTTTATCTCTATGGTAACATTAGAATCTTCATTGTTGGTGGCGTAGTGGAAAGAACACTCCTCTTTCACCGAGACAGCCGGGGATCGATTCTCAGATAGGACGTGGAAAGGAATGGGGTCATCTTCTAAACCATGTGTTTTGTTATGTTTGACGTAAACAACAATGTTTTGCTACATCATTTGCCTTTGTGACGTCATGATTCAAGACAGCTGTCCCCCGATCGGAATATAGTTTTCTAATAAAAGGCATACAGGTGTTATTTTTCAGATTGGATATGAACGCTATTGGGTAAAGGTCCCCCCAAACCGTAATTATATTTATGTATCTCTCATTCGTTACTGTTCAAACTTTAATAGGACAGCACGTGAAACTTGTGTCTGTACATTGTACATAATTTGAAAGTAAACTAACTTGGGTTAATTAATTATGAAAACCAATCAATCCCTCGTAGGGAGCCACTATGTATACACTGTCTTTCACAATATTAGAAAACATTAGGTATATTGGCCTCCTTCCGGTTTCTCATATGTGAAAATTTATCATGGAAATTTTGTATGAAACAATCCTAGGTACAATTTATCGATCTAGACAAATTTTGAAAACAGATTGACCCTTTGTTGTTAACCTGTCCCCCCNTTTGTAAAGTATGTGTGTTTTGGCGCATGTATATTGATAATGTCTTATTATTCACGAACATAAAACCATACACACAACTAATTACAAAATACAATGAAATACAGACAACAATATACACAACGATGCGCTACGAACAACGAGGACCGTCTTGAATTAATTCAAAAGGCCCCAATGTCCAATAACAGACATACAAATGTTATAACAAAAAATAATGAAAATCTAGTAAAATATGACCGATAAAGACATCCATTGTCTATATGAGGTAGATAACAGTGTAACACACAACGCATATTCATTGAGATTATGTAAAACATTCTGCTTTTAAGATAAGGTTAGCGACCACAGTCAATCGGGAACCGTCAGCATTTTCGGTAAACGACTCGTTTACGGAAAGTGCTGACGGTTCCCGATTGCGACCACAGTAAGATAACTCTTGCATAAAAAAATCACTCGTGCGTTTGATTCTTAAACCACTATGAAGCGCGTCTATAACATCGAATGCGAGTGAATATAAACAGTGTCACCTGTCAAAATGGACAGACAGGAATACAAAAGAGAGTTTAAAGAAAAAAAGAACAGGTTACCACTTGGAATGGCGCCCAGGTACAATGTATCAGTTCTACCTTACGCTAACTTTACCTTTAAGCTAACTTCAAAGAAGACAGAATAACTTCAAATTAACTCTCCAAGAACTTTGTTAAAAGCCCTTACTTCACAATGCAAAGTGGTGAATTTTTAACACCCATTTAACTGCAAGGACCATACTAATTTTGAAACGAAGAGGAAGTAAAATAATTATGGTGGCTACAATACAATTTGTTTCCTACTAGGTATATAAATGGTTAATCATCCCGTGAATACATTTAAAAAGAAACATCAAATCTAAGTAATGGTGTCTGCTTTCTGGGGAAAGATGATTTATATGATTTCTAAAATCGAGATAAGAATTGAAACGAAACATAAAATGTGGATTGAAATATAAGAATTAGGAATACAGTCGTTTGTACAGTAGGAATTTCGTGTTGAAATGTACTTTGGTACGGCGACCAGGTGTCACTTGCATTTTCAGACTTGTTTCTGTTTAGACTGTTTTTGTTATAATGACCTTATCACAAGATTTGTACGAACGTTTATGATCATGTTATACAGGTTAATTTGGATGACGAAGGTGACAGGATACATATCGTATCAGTCATCGAAACGTTACAGATAAAAGTTTCGCTGGCTGCGCTATATAAACATGTATAAAATTCACACGAACATTTTAAAAGTCACAATAAAAAAAAAACAAGTTTACAACAACCTTCTACACACAACAATGCACTGGGCACAATACTACTCTTAACATAACAATGTAATTAACCATAATAACGTTCTACATGAACAGCAATTTACACCACAAACTTGTACACATATCGAAATACCACCAACTAAACCATATCGTACTACATACAACCATTACCAACACCTAGCTTACGGATCTCCGTACCGTACACCTGAACCTCATTTTCTCGGCATCTGGAAAGAAAATAATGTTCTGCTGGACTTTTCTTTGTTTGCAAATAATAGAGATAAAGTAAATTAACAGTTGTAATCCGAGTGCAAAAAATAAATCAGCATGGCTTAGCTAGATTTCGAATCCTTGATCCTATTTTTTTTTTTACATTTGAGCTATTTGGTCAACGGGAGTTTTCTGGCTCAAACGTGCTACAGATATGTCAAAACGGAATAGAAGGGGAGGTCACTGTATGTACGAAACACCACTTTTGAGCTGTCTTCAGTGGAACAAGGATCCTTAACTTTAAGCCAGCAAACGACAAAAGCAAAAATAATGTAGATTTTCCTTGTGGGAACATCTGTCAAACAACACACAACACTGAAAAATTACCATATATCTAATTTAAAACAGATTATAGCCATCTTTAGATATAGAGTAAGTTCCGTATAACATCGCCACAAGAACTAACAGCAAATACAATCTTATGATATTAACTTTAAACCATGATAAAATTTCAAGACTAGCAAGCGGTATTCCCACAATAGCGTGTAACCATCACAAAACAACGTACAGTAAGTAGCCTGTGAGCCCATTTCCCAGAGAAGTTATGCGGACATAAATACAGACAGCACAACAATTGATTCCTTTTTTTCCTAATTATTTCCCCGAACACGTCACTGTGTAATATCAGTGTCCATGTCTTGTCTGCGATACACACTATGTGTTCATTATCATCCCCAATTACGTTGAGATCTAGGAGTGATAGCGCCCTCTGTCGATGAGCGGGAGACTCGGCCAAAGAGTGGCTCCACAGATCGATACCCGGCCAATCCGATACCACCGTGAATCTTTAACGTTTTCATTTCCAGGGAAACTATAGCTGCTTGCTGCCCTATACCAGCAACATGGCGAGTGATACTAGAGCGAATCGTGAAAAGATTGAGTTAGATAATTTGTTGGCCCCGCCCGGAGGGGTAGCGGGGGAGGAGAACGGGACAGCCCAGGAGGGCGAAGTCCGTGATGGGAGGGAGTCTCTAGCCCTGCCCAGCCCCGCTACCTCCTACGGGAGTACCATGAGTATAGGACCGGGAGCTTCCACTGCTAACCTGTTGAAGATAGATCTGGAAAAGCAGATTTCCCGCCACACGGGCGAGGAGCGGGAGACATGGGACAGTCGAGCTGAGTTTATCCTTTCGCTTGTCGGCTATGCTGTGGGGCTGGGCAACGTTTGGAGGTTTCCCTACCTCACGCAGAAAAACGGTGGAGGTAAGTGTCAATACTTTTCTAAATTTTCTGTATCACTTGAGCTTTAATTATAAGTATGCTCCCTTCAACAGGTGTAGTGTCTCATTAGTATATAATTTGTCTAAACTATACTAATATTTTATATGTTCTTCAACTGGCTAAGCAAACCTTCTTCTTTTTTTTTTATAAATAGTATGGTTAAAAACCGACGCAAATTTATGACTGAACAGAATTCAAAAAAAATCCTGTCACACATCTAAAAAAAGTGACTTCGGCATGTTCAGCAACACCAAACTATGCACTACTGTAGAACGCTTAAACCGTCTACAATTATGAAATGTACATTACTGCTCTGTGTCCATGGTTACCTTGAACACATGCTTGTGTTTATTTATGGCTATATTGAGACACAACAAAATGTGAAAGTTGAGGAAAATCTATGGAGTAATTGAATTGGTTAATGGCACTCCTTGGCTGCTTACAATGCACGTGAGTATGGTAAATTGTAAGCCATCAGACACGTCGGATGGACCTACCCGGAATATTGCGTGATAATAAAAATGTATCATCACTTTGATAGCAATACCTCCAGCGTCAGCTAGTACTAAGACTAAAATAGATTCATTTATATTGTCAGAGTTGTTTTACATCCAATATACATTTAGATGTTTCAAGAGAAGCCATTTGAAATGTTTTGTCGCTCCTTTGACATGATGTCTCTGATAGCCAGTTATCTTTTTTCACTGGCCTGAAACATCTGTGAAATAAACACTGTTTACCTATCTGAAACTGATTGCTTTTTTTTAAAATCTTTATAAGAAGTGTAATAGCCACTTAACTCTACTTTCATTTCTGTATTGTAAGCAATTGCACCTTACCTGTATAGTAAACAATTGTACCTCACCTGTATAATAAACAATTGTACCTCACCTGTATAGTAAACAATTTCACCTTACCTGTATAGTAAACAATTGTACCCACCTGTATAGTAAACATTTGCACATTACCTGTATATTCAATTTCACCTTACCTGTATAGTAAACAATTGTACCTCACCTGTATAATAAACAATTGCACCTCACCTGTATAGTAAACATTAGCACATTACCTGTATAGTAAACAATTGCACTTTACCTGTGTAGTAAACAATGGTAGCTCACCTGTATAATAAACAATTGCACCTTACCTGTAAAATAAACAATTGCCCCTTACCTGTATAATAAACACGTGTACCTCACCTGTATAGTAAACAATTTCACCTTACCAGTATAGTAAACAATTGTACGTCACCTGTATAATAAACAATTGTACCTCACCTGTATAGTAAACATTAGCACATTGCCTGTATAGTAAACAATTGTACCTCACCTGTATAGTAAACAATTTCACCTTACCAGTATAGTAAACAATTGTACCTCACCTGTATAATAAACAATTGTATCTCACTTGTATAGTAAACAATTTCACCTTACTTGTATAGTAAACAATTGTACCTCACCTGTATAATAAACAATTGTACCTCACCTGTATAGTAAACATTAGCACATTGCCTGTATAGTAAGCAATTGCACCTTACCTGTGTAGTACACAATGGCACCTCACCTGTATAATAAACAATTGCACCTTACCTGTAAAATAAACAATTGCACCTTACCTGTATATTAAACAATTGCACCTTACCAGTGTAGTAAACAATGGCACCTTACCTGTTTACTGTATCATTGTTTCATCACTTGTTGCGTTTGTACCTGTGAATATGTACATTACACCATTGTACCCTTAGTCGTTTCACCTGGTATACACCATTGACTGCATAAGTAGTCATTACCGATAGCTCACCATTGCAATGTTACCTGTTTACCTGTAGTTCACCATAGCAAATGCTCTTTTACCCATTTACCTGTAGGACATCATAGCAAATTCACCTGATTGCCTGTTATGCAGCATAGCAAAATTACCCGTCTACCTTAAGCCCTAGTAAATCTAAACATCTTTACCTGTAATGCCCCGTTGAACCAATAACCGTCATCTGCAGTAAACAATTGCACCTTTAAGTTAAGTATTAAAAGTGTGTGATCCCCGTAAAATGTTTAACACAAAATTTATCCAAAATATAAAGAAATTACACTGTCAAGAAAGCGTATCAAAAATAAAGCACCACCGGGCCACTCTCGGATGTATTGAACACAATGGCCCAATACGGCATCTTCACATGTCAGCAAGAAAACATATCTTACTATTATGATTCTCATAGAAAAGTCATACCTTTATAAGCATTGTAAATGTCGAACAACTTTTCAGATCACCGTTGACATGAAGGAGTACTATTTTTTTGTAAACAAAACACAGGCACGCTCGGTTCAACTGCACGTGCTGACGTCTACCTTTGAAAAGAACCCGGATTTTAATCTGAACGTGACGTCATGATTAAAAGGCTACGAACGGTCGCTAGTCTCCCCAGGTAACGTACAGGTGAGATGTATGAGTGATCAAAGAGGTGGCCATGTTTCTATCGATAAAGATTTTCTTTCAATAATCAATGAGAATCTCCACCAGTATACCTGTTTTGGTTTGCTTGGGCATTATTTATAGCCGCGTGCTTGGTCAGATAGACAATCTGGTACTTGTGGCCGTACTACACATGGGGATAGGTTTTCATCTCGCTAAAACTCAGCTTTCAAGGAAAAAGTATTGTTGACACAACTGTTAACATATTAACTTAAAGGGTCGCGATTGGGAGATGGAAGTATTTTCATGGGCATTAGGGTTGCTCCTATGTAGTATACCCTATGTATATATGATTTGAAATGGAATATTTAGATTCGCTTAAAATCACCTTTTTCAGATCATCTATAAAATTGTTAAAAATTGCAAAACATAACATAATAAACAAGAATCAAAATAAGCTTAAAAACCCAAACTTTGGGTGGCCAGTTTGCGAGATGGACATCTTAATCGCTGTCCGACCGTGGTCCAAGAGTGAAAATATATAGGCTCACCTGCCTGAACAAGTGGGTTTTCTCTAGGTGCTTCGGTTTCCTCCAACACGAAGACCCTCTGTACACTAACATCTGGGCCAAAGTAATTATTAATATATGTTATTAGAACTCATTCCACTATTGTTGAAAAATAATCTCATGGTAAAACCATTTTATCTCAACATTGAACAAAGAAATGTGTATATTTTCATGCATATATATTTATTATTCAATAACACGACTCGAACAAAAAAGTCTTTGTGTTGAATTAACTAACTGGCAGCCGTGGTGTGCTTAACAAAATGCCTTGTTCGTGACGTGTTGTAACCCTGGTTTGTAGTTTTTGACGTATCTACATTTTCTAGGAAACCAAATTAGGCTCTGAACGTGTGCGTTGCGTGTGGAGAAACGTTACATAATTTCCCCGAAGACACATTTCTAGGAAATAAAATTTCGGGTCAATCGAATTATGACGTGAAATACGGAATTGAATTAGCACTACTCAGGCAACAATGTGCAGAGTCGTACTAGAAAAAATATATCAAAACAATGGAACCTGTGAGACATGAGTGCCTGACATTGGGCAGAGGTCGTATGAACAACAGTGTATTGATCGGGTTGGCCTCTTCTGTTCCTTTATCAGACGTACCATGCTCCAAACGTCAGACTCCCCCCGCGCCGGAAGACGACCGTCCAGTGTCCGGTATATAATGATGGATCCCCGTATCCATGGTAACTATGTATATGGCGACAACACTAATCACTAAAATGGTTCCTGAAATAAACGAGGCATAAAAGATGTGTTGTTTTATAATGTCATTGAGAATTTCCTGAAGGTCGTTATAAACGGTTGTGATCAAACAACGGCTAGGCGTTTGTATTCGAGTTCGCATTGATAGAGAGCTTTCGTGCTGAAAATTCAGTGTGGACATCATGAACAACGACTCCCGCTCATCGGACATGTAAATCGTGTTTATAATATATTAATGAAGCCTTTCAACTCAAGAATGTCTGCACATTTCGTACGTTAATCAATTGGCATGCCGCTCCTTGTCTGACGTAGTCAGGTGTCTCACATTTACAGGGCGACGTGTAAGACGTTTCGGACCAATTATCATTATTGCATCTTCCTTTTAAGGTTTATACATGTTTTGGGGAAACAATGGTTATTGTGGTCAGTGCAAATTAAAAGGGTACTGGTTGGTGTGTATAAAAGATACAGGTTGGTGTGTATATAAAGTACTGGTTGGTGTGTATATAAGTAACTGGCTGGTGTGTATATAAGGTACCGGTTGACGTGTATATAAGGTACTGGTTGTTGTGTATATAAGGTACTGGTTGGTGTGTATATAAGGCACTGGTTGGTGTGTATATAAGGTACTGGTTTGTGTGTATATAAGGTACTGGTTGTCGTGTATATAAGGTACTGGTTGGTGTGTATATAAGGTACTGGTTGTTGTGTATATAAGGTACTGGTTTGTGTGTATTTAAGGTACTGGTCGACGTGTATATAAGGTACTGATTGTTGTAAAATAAGGTACTGGTTGGTGTGTATATAAGGTACTTGTTGTTGTGAAATAAGGTACTGGTTGGTGTGTATATAAAGTACTGGTTGTTGTGTATATAAGGTACTGGTTGGTGTGTATTTAAGGTACTGGTTGACGTGTATATAAGGAACTGGTTGTTGTGAAATAAGGTACTGGTTGATGTGTATACAAGGTACTTGTTGTTGTGAAATAAGGTACTGGTTGGTGTGTATATAAGGTACTGGTTGGTGTGTATATAAGGTACTTGTTGTTGTGAAATAATGTACTGGTTTGTGTGTATATAAAGTACTGGTTGTTGTGTATATAAGGTACTGGTTTGTGTGTATATACGTAACTGGTTGGTGTGTATATTAGGTACTGGTTGACGTGTATATAAGGTACTGATTTGTGTGTATATTAGTAACTGGTTGGTGTGTATATAAGGTACTGGTTGACGTGTATATAAGGTACTGGTTGTTATGTATATAAGGTACTGGTTGGTGTGTATATAAAGTTC